CTGTGTGGGAACATCTTTATGGGCCTGTTTGTGGGGCCTGTGTGGGAACATCTATATGGGCCTGTGTGTGGGGTCTGTGTGGGAACATCTTTATGGGCCTGTTTGTGGGGCCTGTGTGGGAACATCTATATGGGCCTGTGTGTGGGGTCTGTGTGGGAACATCTTTATGGGCCTGTTTGTGGGGCCTGTGTGGGAACATCTATATGGGCCTGTGTGTGGGGTCTGTGTGGGAACATCTCTATGGGCCTGTGTGTGGGGCCTGTGAGGGAACACCTCTCTGGCCCGCCTGTCTGTGCGCGGTGCCTCTCTAGGTCCGCAGGGGAACATCTCTCCGGGCCGTTCGCGGGACACGATCAGGGCTGCTGGTGCCTGAGCTCTGCGCTGGCTCCTCCAGGCAGCCAAAGAGCAGCTGGACTTCATCTCTGTGCGTTTTAGAAGGTCCTTTTCATTCAAAAACCGGGACAGAACCTGTGGAAGAGTCTTGTCTCCTTTGAAAGTGATGAACGTGACAGTTCTATTCCAACAGTTGGTGCTTAACAAGACATTGTACCTTTTTCTTTTCTTTTTTCCCCCCACGAGCTGCCCTCGAGCCTGAGAAAGGCCTTTTTGCCTTTTGTATGGACAGTTTCTGTGGTGGCTGCTGAGTGCTCAGCAGTGTGTTGTTGAGGGAATACAGGGTGGTTTTGTTCCCTCCTCTTTTTAATTTAAAAATATAAAATTACAATATCCTGTAGCAAACGAGATGGGATGAATCTAAATATGCACTGGCTTCAAAGAGAGTGCATTTAGCCTGCCAGTGGTGGGTAACTTTGGGCTTAACTGGGGCAGAATTAGTGGGGAGGTGTTTGGCTGGGGGAAGTGGGAAGCTCTCAGCCTTGCCCTGCTGGTAAAGGAGCAGCCACACAAGGAATAAATCAAGTGGAAATGCAGGAAGTTTTTTTTACTCAGTAGTTGTGTGTAAATGCAGCACCGTGTCTGTATCTATACACACACATATGCACATTGTTCAAAAATAGTCATTGTAGTTTCTTTTTCTGTGCTCTTTACTAATAAATTGCGTGGGATCTTAACAACTTTTCCTGCTAGTCTTTATTCAAATAAAACTGGAGGCCTTTTTTTGTAAGGAAGAAGCAAGGCTATTTGGTTTTAGTTCATGAACCTGAGTGAGTGAATACAAGAGTGTGGCTGAGTAAAAAGATTATGTCCTGTAAATATAGTGTGATGGCAAATTGATGGGGCAGATTCTGCAAAATATACTGTATATTTATGTAATAATTCTACTAAAAATATGGAAAAATATTTTCCACAGGTGGCAACAGCCTTGGTGATTGTAGATTCATGGACAGTAGATTTCTTTAGGAGTTTTCAAAAGAAACCAGCTTTATGGAAATAGTATCTCTTCTTGTAGAATCTGCAGAACTTGGCAAAGAAAAATGTTAGTGTTTCATTTGGAACAGAAATTAATTGATTTCTTTTTTCCTTTTAGGAAAGATGCAAATGCAGCGTTGCTGAGCAACTATGAGGTAAGTTTGTGTCCTGATTTTCAACCATCAGTTGAAGCTGCCATCAGTCACTTGTGAACTTTAGTGGAAGCTGAAAATGGCCACTGGCAGTCAGCAGGACCTGTGGCTTCCAACTCTCTTATCTGTTACGAAGAAAAACGCTTTTTAAATAAAATACATTTTTCTAAAACTTACCAGTTTTCACTGGTACTGGGTACAGCTGGGGAGGGGTTTTTCACCAGAGGGGGCAGTGATAGGATAAGGGGTGATGGTTTTAAACTGAAAGAGGGGAGATTTGGGTTGGAATAAATTCTTCACCATGAGGGCTGTAAGGTGCTGGAATAGTTTGCTCAGGGAGGTTGTGGCTGCCCTCTCCCTGGAGGTGTTGAAGGGCAGGTTGGATGAGGCTTGTGCAGCCTGGTCTGGTGGGAGGTGTCTCTTATTTTCTAATATAGGTAAGTTCTGAATAATTTTCCTTTCTCCTGACCTGGAAAGATTCCAGGGCTTTGTTTATGAATGTAATTTTTTGGCATGGTTTTAATAATTGAAGTGTTTTGTTTATATTGTTTTATTGCTGAAGCTTGAAAGTTGCTCAGCTGCTTCATCCTATTCTGAAATAAATCTTGAAATGTTTTATCTTGAGCTGCATCTGTGAGCAGCAGAGCAACCATCTGGTGACTGTTAGAAGGGCTTTAATGAGGTACTTGGAAACAACTGTCTTGCTTAAGAAATAGGTGTTATGCTAGCTGAAGGAGTAATAAGTGTCTGGTCATTAAAAATATGTACTATTGCAGAACAGGAAATAACAGCAAGTGTTTCAGAGATTATTTATTGCAAAATGATCTCTGCTTCCTTCTTGGTTTGCTGGGATGTTGCTGGAGTTGAGGTATTCCTGCCTGCTGGGGCTCAGGTAGTGGTGTCAGCCACACTGTACAATCCACAGGTGTCCTAAAGGTGTGGGGCAGAACAGGGATTGCAGAATCCATTCTTCATGCTTTTCTGTGGGAACTTCCTTCATCAGAGTCTTTATGTTGGTGAATGTACCTTGTGTGTTGAGAAAGAGCATAAGGAAAGGGGGAAACCCAAGTTCCTGAGGAGAGTGTCTGTTTCTCCTTCCTCTTTCACAGCAGTTGTCACACATGCAGCTTTTCAGCTCTTTGCAGGAAGGGGTATGCAGTGTCTGCAGCCATAGGCTTTTGGGGCATGGCTTTTTACTGCCCTTCCAAGCACTGATTCCCCTGGAACTACTGATGTTCTGTTTGCTCCTCTTCTCAGTTGCACTTTGCCCCAGCTAACCTCTTCTTCATGGAGGTGGTACTTTGCACACAAAGGGTGTTTGAAAGGAGTGTTCAGGACTGACCTGTTGTGTGTTCTACGCCTACACTTCTGTGAGTTTGGAGTTGTCATTTAATGTGTTTTGTTGTCACTTGGCTACATTTTCTTCAAATATTTATTATATCCAAGTTCATAGCTTGAGTTGTGGCTTTCAAGCCAGGACTGGCCCATGTTCTTTTCTCATAGAAGATGCAACATGAAGTAATTGCATGATTTGTGGCCAGTTGTGTTCTTATATTTCACTGTCTGTAAAGGCTTGTGTTCTTATTTCTATGGACTTGCCAGCTGATAATGCCATTGCATCTGGATCTTGAATGATGCTGGTTAAAAATGAGGGGATGAACAGTGAGAAGTGCTCTGTGATGTGCAGTGGTTGTTGGCTCTGGGCATATTGTGAAGCCTGAAGCAAAACATCTGAAGAAATGTCATGCTAATGTGATTTTAATATGGGGCTAAAGAAGTAAGTGGGTGCTGCCTCAGCACTTTGCTGCATGTCTAGTGGTGCTGGGTGAAGGTGCTGCAGGGTTGCAGCAGGGCTGACAAAATGAAAGCATCTTCCCCACTGTCAGACTCTCCCTCTGGATCTCGCTCCCACATGAATATTTACTGCACCACAGATGTTTAGACAACTTTATTACATTCTCTTCAAGAATGTCTGCTTGTGTTACAGTGTGGTGATTAAATAAGGAGCTAATTTAATCTTTGTGGCTTAACATACCATAACACCACAGTGGTCACTGTAACATTTATTATTATGAGTAACTCCCCTGGAATTCACAATGGGATTACTAACTTCAGGAGCATCTGTAGGTGAAGCCTTGATTTACTTGGTTCCTGGCAGTGTGACAATTGAAGAGTTTACTCTTTTTTTTGCAGATAATGTAGAATTGCACCTATGTGAGCCAAGATAGATATTCATGTTAATATTACAGGTATATTTGTCATAACAAAACCAGTAGGGCCATAAGCTTGTGTGGCATTTTGCTCCAAGCATCACTTTTACTGACAAGGGAGCTCTGTGCCAGTCCAGTAGGGTGTGACCTAACTCTGCTCAGGACAGGGGTCCTATATCAGTAGGTTAGATTTATTCTGGCAACTTCTCCTTTGGGGCTCTTGCATAGTGTCTAGCAAGTGCTGAAAATTTGTTTACTACTGACAAGGGAGCTCTGTGCCAGTCCAGCAGGGTGTGACCTAACTCTACTCAGGACAGGGGAGAACATCAGTAGGTTAGATTTATTCTGGCAGCTTCTCCTTTGGGGCTCTTGGATAGTGTCTAGCAAGTGCTGAAAATTTGTTTAAAATAATCATAATTTTAAAATAACTACGTACACACCTATTCATCATTTTGGTGTCAAAATGTCTTTCATTTCTCTTGCTGGCACATCTACCAAATAAGCCATGCTGTCTTGGTGCTTGGCTGGTAGGATTTTGCATTGCTCATTTGTGTTCTCCTGCTGTAATATTTTGAGGTAAAATACTCTCAAATGCTCTCAACCACCTTATTTTTCCAGGTCTTCCAGTTACTGACTGACCTGAAGCAGCAGCGCAAAGAGAGTGGAAAAAACAAGCAGAGCTCTGGTCAGCAGAATCTGAACACAATAATGTATGAAGTGAGTGGCACTGTGAAATTCCTTTGCAAATTAGCCCAGGCTAGAATAATTCACATCCTTAATATCTGTCTATTAATAATTTTGTGTCACATTTCCCTTTGAAAAACACAGGTAAATAATTTTTGAGCCACTTTTCTATGGTCATTTAATGCAGGTTGTGGGCTAACTGCCCTGCCAAGGCAGAGACCTGCTGGTGCTCTTTATTAAAACCTATCACAGTAGGAATAAAAACCCTCTTGTGTTTTAGTGGTTTGATTTTGGGGGAGGTTGGTTTCAGACACAACTGGTAAAGCAAATAGTTGCTGTGAAGTAATGTGTACTTTCTTTCTGTTCCTTTCAGACACTGAAGTACATTTCAAAAACACCTTGTAGATACCAGAGCCCTGAGACTGTGAGAGACTTCCTCATAGCAATGAAAGGCCACAAGCTAACCAAGTAAGTAGGAACCCTTGAAGAAATGTAGAAACTCATGGAAATGCTGAAAAACTGATCCCTGTGTACACAGTGTGATCATTGGGTTTGATTAACGTATTTTAAGTGCTCTCTGCCGTTATTTAAATACTCATCTGAGCATCTTTTCCTTCACTTTTTAATACCTACATGGATGAGTATTTCCTTAAGCAGGTCTGTGTTTCTCAGTGTATTTCTCCAACAGGATCTTGTCAGTAGTTTGGTTTCCAGCATGGTTCCACATGGTCTAAGCACAAAGTAGGTCTGTTTGTTCACTGCCAGATGAACAGAAAAGCTGGTTCAAAGGCACAACTAGTCAGAAACGTCCCATCCTCCTAGACTGCTTTGTCTGCTGCTTAAATTGCTCGTTATGTCTCTGTCTCTAACCAAGGAGGAAACAGCAGTGTGTTTGTGCCCTTAATGAGACTCGGCAACTTTCCTAATACAAGGAGTGTTGTTGCAGCACTCGAGCACCAGGCTGTGCTAGTGGATGGGAGGATTTCGAGGTAGTGAAGAAAGACTAGACACCATTGAGAGAAGCACCAAGGATTGAGGCACATTGATTTAAAGAACAGAGCTTTTAATCAAGCAAATTGTCATTTTTCCTGCCTTCCTTCCCCAGACCTGCAGTGCTAACCGTGCAGAATGCACTGCTCATCGGGCTGCATGTGAGGTTCTGAAATGTTCTGGTTCCAGTTAGAGCTGATAACGTGGTGCTGGCAAGTGGGGCACTTCCTCTGAGATCACATCAAGGCTTTTCTTTCTCTTATTGCTACTATTTACTACTCAGAATACCAGGCTAACAGTCCAACATTTCTTTTCTGCTGACAGCCAACCATTTTGTGATGGGTTTTTCTCATTAGTGCTACGAGCAGAAAAAAATAATTTTTCCTAAAAGGCAATTTTAAAAAATAAATACTAATGTGTACAAACAGCTTAAACCTTTCAGAGTAATTTCAGATAAGTTCGTTGCTAAATGGAGCACATTCAAAGACCTCTAAACATATATTTCACTGGCATAGTGAAATATATCATTATTAACTGGTAGTTATTATCAGTTATGTTGGTAGTTATTATCAATTATGTTGGAACTGGGGAACTGAGATTTTTCTAAAATGAAAAGCTCTGAACTGCCATAATAGGGAATTTTATTATTACCTTGTTGAGACCTTGAGCTTTGGCTAATGCTGCAGCACAGTAAGCTGAGTTGTACTTAGAAATACAGTGTGCCAATAGCAGCTGATTTTCCAGTGTCAGTCCCTGGAATGGTTTTGTGTTTTGTAAGGCAGTGTGAAGGGCATTGCATGAGAGGAACATTTATTAAGCTTCTGCTCTGTAATTACAGTTAAGTGAAAATTTGCTCTACTTGTACTTCTTCCTGTTACTGATAACCTATCTTAGATCTAATTTTGGAATAATCAAATTTGCAATCAATGCATATTGTTATAATATTAAAAAATTGGACCTAAACATTGCCCTTTATGTCTTTAAATCAACCCAGTCAAGGAAGTGTTGAGCTGAAGATGTGTAGTTCTTTTAGAAACTATTTTCCCTCATTACTGCCAAAAACTACAACAAATGTAAATCTCTCCTGAGTTAAAGGCTGAATCAGTCACTCTGTGATTTTTGTTTCCTCCAGAGCTTTCAAAGTGAACATTCAACACCAATGTCAGGATGGGGCTAATTCAACAATAACATCATTTAATAGTCTTTTTTAAAAAGACTCTTGTGTTTCCCTCTGAACTGATGGGATATGAACCCTGTGATCTGTAGCAGTGGTGCTCATTTTTGTTTGCATTCAGAGACCACTGTCAGCCTCAGGGTTCATCCTGCACAGAGGTACTGGTGCTGCAGTACAAGGGAGAACACAGCTGGAACATCTGGGCAGAGCATGCTCCTCCCTCAGCCAGATCTTGTGGTCTTGGTTCAGACATTTCACCTGGTTCAGGGCCTTAGGATTTGGCTCTGAAGTATTTTCAGCTAATATTAAAATATCTAGTAGTGTTATGCAGCTGTTAGTGTTTTCCTTGCAACTGAAAGCACAGATTCCTGAGGATGAATTTGCCTCTGCACAGTCACAGATGCTTCAAGGTTTCCATTAGCTCTGTGTACTGTATTTTGGCACTGACACTGTTCTCTTCATAGAGATCAGCCTTTATTCTCTTCTTTAGATCACCAATCTTTAGATACTCTAAGAGATGCCTGTGGATCTCTTACTAGAAAAACAAAACGTATGCACATGTACATATATATGTGCACACACACACAGAATCTGCGGATCTCTTACTAGAAAAACGAAACGTATGCACATATATATGTGCACACACACACAGAATCTGGTAGTTTAGTAGCTAAAAAATGGGCAATACCAAGCCACAGGATACAAGGTTTTGATTAAAATAGAAATGCTGCAGATATATGGCTCCTTGTTGACGGAATATGGTACATTTAGCCTTAATTTGCAGTAACAGGCTGTAACTTTTTCTTATTTTTTTAGAATCAGTTAATTTAGGATGCACTGTAGCAATGTGCTGTCTGTTCTATCTGCCCAAAGTGATATTTTATGCTGTATCCTCTGAAGACACCTCTTGTGGTTGTGAAGGGGCACAGCAATGTCATTGCACCCTCCAACAGACACTCTCCCCTCAAGCACAGAGCTCAGACCCATTTTCTTCTCCCAGAACTGCTCAGTTTGTGCCTCCTGCAGCCCGAGCTGCCCATGTCCCACAGACCCACTCCACAGCATTTTGCCCTCAACTGGAAGTGCTGATCTTGGCTCCAGCTGAGTCTCAGCTGCTGCTGGAGGTGGCCTGGGAGTGCTCAGCCTCACAGCAGGAGTTGCCATTTGGGGGTTTCTTCTGTAAGACTCTGCCTAGCAGACGATTAACTCTAATTAGTGGAGTCTAGCTTTTATGTGAGAAACCGGCTTTCAGCTGTCACTCCTCTTTTGTATGTATTCTTCTCTTGAGCTTTCTTGTTCTAAACTGTGTTGCTAGAATCCAGACAGTCCAGAAAAAGACAAAGACTTACTTTTTTGGAGCAATTAAGTTGAAAATATTCTTCACTTTCTGTTTAGATGGATGGGACAGTTACCCTTTTTATTTAATGAGCGTGGGTGTAAACATGCCTGCTGTAGGAAGTGTAAAGATGGATTCATCTGGGTGGGATAAAGTTCATTTTATTTTTTAGAGGTAATAGAGCATGAACTGAATTCAGGCTGATCATGTCTGCCCATCCAAACCCTGCAGTCAGCACCAATGCGTGCTCGGGCGTGCAGCCTTTCCCTCCCTTAAAGCTTGTTTTGATGGAATTGTGGGTGTTCAGGTGCTAATTTGTGTACATGCTAGCAGGAAATACCAGGTACACTGAGACTCTGATCATCATAGTCAGTTTTTGGTGTTAGAAGAAGCCAATGTGGTGGGTCCTGAGCTCCAACTCCTGCTGTGTGCAGCACTGGGGGCTGAGAAACCCAGTCATCTGCTGCAGCCTGGAGCTTCAGAGATAATCTTGTGAGTGTTTGCTTCAAGAGTTCCAAGAACAATAACCTGGGCACTCTGTTAGGAGTAGGAGGGCCATAAATTGCACACAGGGAGAAGAGCTGGGATAAAAATATCAAAAGGGGCCACTAAGCTGGTCCTGGATTGTGTGCTTGGAGTGCAGGTCTGTGTGCTGTGCAGCCAGCAGGAAGGGCTGCTCAGGTGGGCCTCCCGAGGAGGCAGAGGGATCTCTGTGTGTGTTGCACAGATGTTTGCTGGTGTTTCTTAAACAATTTTAGCAGCTGGGTAGTTATTAAACAGAAGAGAAAAGAGAAAATGTTACTGTTCTCTGTGGCAGGAGGAGCATATCTACCCACACTTGTATCCAGCGTTTGCCCAAATACCTTCACTTACAGTTGGTTACCCCTTTGCCATCTTGCAAGATTTTGCTGAAATAAAATAACTTAGATCTGCATTATCAGGATGATGTTGAGGCTGACCAGCAAACAATTGGCTGGATACCCATCTTCAGATGACAGTTACTGAGTAGATGGTTTTCTTTGTATCTTTGGATTCAGTCTCTATGTAAATGAAACAAATGCATTGCTTAAATCATAATTGCACAGTGTTAACATCTCTAAGGATTATTATTTTTAGTGCTAAGTACTGTTGCTAATTTCTAAAACCCTGTAACACTACACAGGCACCTTCAGATGAAATGTGTAATCTGTGTAGCTTTTGTTTTTTGCATCCTGCTGCTAATTCCTTTTTGATGTTCTGAGTCATTTTTCCAGTAGGGAGCTTTGCAGATCAAAAACAGGCATGAAATTTTTCAGATGACACATTTTAAAGACTTGCAAATTATCTCTCATTCTTCTGTTCACATTTTAAAACCTGCAGATACCCTGAATGTTCCATCTTTGCTGAAATGATGCTTTTGAGATCCATTTATCCTGACTGTAAAACTTCTGTCTATTCCCTGATGAGGTTTAGCAATGTTAATGGCTTGTAAGCTACAAGTCTTCAGGGTGACCTTTTTGATGGAGTCCTGTATTTCTTGTCTCCAGGAGACATGAACAGTTTAACTAATTGATTGTTTTAGTCATGATGTATAATTGGTTTTAATGTATTGCTGGTGTGATCTGCTCTGCCAGTAGTCTTTCTGTGATCAGCATAATGGAGCTCTACCTGTTTTAAAATACCTAAAAATAAGGATAAGTGAGATTTGCATTCTGTAGCAATAGGCATGAGACAGCTTGGGTATTTGATCCTCTTTATTTGGCTCCGAGGTTTTGTTGGCAACAAATTTCAAAGATACTACTTTGAGGAATGTGAATATGAAAAAATGTATCCTGTGTTCTTTTGTAGAAGTCAAATAATATGTTTTGTCTGGGGATGTGGTGGAGCTATAGGATTGAATTGGAGTATGTCTTGCTGCAGAAGTGCAGGAAGACTTTTTTGAAAAGGCTCTGGTCTCTGAAGTGGCATTTGAGAGAACAGTGTAGTGGGAAACTGGTGTGACTTCATTAAACAGCCTTTGGGAGGAGGGGGAAATGTTTTTCAACCCGATACCCTCATAGCTTTCCTGTGAGAGCTGAAAATGTATGTTCAAGTTTGTTTACTCACTGTATCAATCATTATTACATTGGACCTGCTTGTTTTTACTATGGTAAGTGCATTTGCTACTGTTCCATATGCTTTTTTAAACATCTGTTTTATCTTTAGGAGTGTTGTGTTATTGTGCTTTTCTGTTCTAAATCACAGAGATGGGCTCAGATCGTTAGCCATGGTGCTATTATGTGGCCAATGCTCATGTCTTGAGCTTCTGAAGTTAATGAAATATGCATTACTGGCATATGACAGCTGGTTTCTACTTTGTTTTTGGAATTATTTGTATTTTAGTAGAGTGTAAAATTAATGATTTTTGACTGCAGAGCTATTGCTTAAATGTTGTGGTTTGAATTGAATGAACATACTTGTTTGATCACATCTTCAATAAAATGTCAATGAAATCTTTTCCCCTCATACCCCTTTTATTTTCTGTTTTAATGATCAAAGTGTTTCAGTGGATATTTGTGAGATCTCATGATCTCTTGATGAGAAAGTTGAGCTAAAAGCTGTGTGGTGGAAATGAATCCAGAGGAGCAGTGAGGCTGGATGAGCTTAATGATGGTTCTGAATGCATCAGGAATTTTGCCACTGGCTTCAGTGGTGCTCAACTGTCTCTGAATGTTGAACTACTGAAGTCACACAAGTTTTAATGACTTCTCCCCCTTGTAGGCAGGGGAGAATGTCTTTTAAACCACAAAGTGTCCATACTGTTACAGCTCAGGCACTGGAGGAGGGTGGTGTGGGTTTTGGGGGCATTTTCTGTGTCCTTGCTGGTTGTGGGCACATGAGTCTTGGTGGGGCTGTGCAGTTCATCAGGTCAGAAACAACTCAGGAAGAAGAGGTTGTCTTTACAGTCCAGCTCAGTCCCCCCAGGAATGACAGATGTGCATGGGAACAGAGATGAAGAGGCATTTTTGCCCAAAGAGGCACATGTAAAAGTGTGCACTCAGCCTCTTGTAATAAGCTATAAAAAAAGGCATTGGCTTAAACCCTGTGGGCTGCAGAGAGTTCCTGTGACCAGGTGGTTTCAAGCTGACTTTTTTTTTAACTTTGCATTTGCAGTGGGCTGAAAGAATTAAGCAAATCATTGCCATTTGGCTGATGGATTGTAACTTCTGAGCTATGATAATTGTTCTTGTGGTCCCGTGTTCATAGCAGAGGAGTCTGTGATGTTTGAGCCATTTAACATTTCTGTACAGCATTAAACAAAGCAACAGTGTTAATTAGTGCTTGTGCAGTAATCATCTGAGGGCCCCTGCCTTCCCACCTTAGACTAGAGATTGCAACAGCAGGATGTCTGAACACACAAGGAAGTGCTGTATATAAAAAATCCAAGTTGTTATGGCAATTAAACCACACTGTGAACCCAGTCAGAATTATTCTTGGCAGTGGTGTTTCACCCCTAAACTGTCAGGAATGTATTTGTCTCTTCCTGGTCTTTTTGGGGGAACCTCAAATTATATAGTCGTGCTGATTTGTTTTGTGCTTTGCTTTTAAACAGGGCAGAAAAGCTGCAGTTGCTTAACCACCGGCCTGTGACAGCAGTTGAAATACAGCTGGTGAGTAACAATGCTCCTGACTGTTCAAAGCTTGAATGAAAGCAGCAGCTTTAACCTTGAAGATCAATTGAATAATTACTTTCTCATGGGCAGTGATTGAATGTATCCCTTTGTGCATGTCTTCACATTCGTGGTTTCAAATCTACTCTGCTTCCTCTGAGAGCTCCTTAGAGACTTGCCCATCTTTCTCTCAGACAGATTCTCCACCTCTCTGTGCTCCAGTGTCACCCTGGACATGCCCACTGCAGTCAGCAGGGATTAGTGACAGTTCTGGGGGTGAGAATGTGTTTAACCTGAGTCTTTTTGCTGCTGCCCTGGAATCAAAATCAAGTGCTTCACTTTTTGACAGCTGTGATAACATGGTTGTTTTGCTGGCAGGGTTTTATATTATAATTAAACCAAACATGCTGAAAATGAGTGAGTAATGACTGATACAGAACTTGGAGCACTGGTGCCAAGTCAGAAATGGATATAGACAGGCTTTCTGAGGGGAAGTAGCCATTGGAAAGCTGTTAAGCAGAATTCTGATGTAGAGAGGGATTGTCACTAAATAGAAATACATGGTTATATTCCATGAAGTATCTCCTTAGGAGTACAAAATCCTGTGGTAATAAAGAGATTATTATCATGAGGATATTCTTGTAATAAAGATTTCTTACATTAAGAACATCTGTTTGCAATCTTACCCAGAAACCAGACTATGCAGTAACAGGATCATATTTTGCTGCAAAAAAGGGGAGGATTAAAGAGGTACCAGTAGAACTGCTTTTCTTTTGTAGCCAAGGAGTAGACCTTGTAATGCTGAAGGCATCTCATAAAAGGATGCTTCTAGCTGAGGAATTAATAGTGTTTTGTGATTGAGGAGATCAGTGTCAGTCATCAACCCTGCCAAGAGCATTGAGGTACATGAGTTTTTCTTGGGAAATCACTCGTAAGTGATGATGTGAAGCCTGTCTCATTCAAACCCTTGTTAGCTTCATGTGCTTAGACACAGATTTATTATATTCCAATGCAGGACATAAATGGTCTTTTTACCCCTTTTCTTCTTTAAATGCAATAATCTTTTGCTGCTTTCAGGTGACTGGGGTTTTGTCTTTTTTCTTCCCATTATCCTACTTAGTTCCTCATTTTCTTACCTATCCGTAAAATACTGAAAACAGTTCAGCTCCTGCGTCATGCCTGAAGGCCAAGAGGCAAGTGTAAGAAGTTTGGGCCTGTGAGTTGGGTTTCTGCAGAGTGTTGTAGTACTTTAGATCTTGCAAGGTTTGTAATGTCAAAGTTAGATAAAACTTGTTGCTAAAACTTGAAGGTTCGAGTCCCGTGTCAGCCCATTATTGATCCATAACTCTTAGTGACCAAAAGCACCTTGTGAAAAATGTGATATTCACACGTTTGGGGCCTAGTCTGAATTTGTATCATCATGGGAATATTTGGGATGCAGTTACTTCTGTTCTATGACAATGCCCCTGCCATTCCCAAGTCACATTTCTCCAAAACTCATATTACAGTAATTTAAGTTGACTGGATCATTACCACTGTGTTAAATGAAGCCTCCCCAAAATTGCAGTTTATTTACTCTTTCATCAAAGCACGTCAAAGTCTTTTTTTATCTCAGTTACTGCTAGGGAACTGCAGGCCACTTGTGGCAGGGAAATGCAGAGCCTGGGAGCCATGGCAAGGAAGGGGTTGTGCTGCTGGGTGGCTGCCTGGAGTCACTTTGGGTTTTGGTGAGGACAGGGGAGGGAGGTTGTAGCAGCACAATGTCTGTGAACACACAAACCTCTGTCTTCTCTGAGCATCTCTGAGAATGAGACAAGGCCAAGCCATGGAAGCTGCCAGTGTTTTCTTCTCTGATGGCAGCAGGGAGAGGATCACCCACACACAGATTTCATGCAGGGAAGTCAGTTCTCTGCAGCCCATGGATGAGGCACAACCTGCAGAGGAGTGAGCACCAGGCCCAAAATTGCCTGGATTCTCTCCCCATTGAGCCTGTCCCTGCCTCCCAAAGGCTCCAAGTCACTCCTGGAACTGAGTCAGAAATAAATGGTGATGAAAACTTGCGACCACTTCACATAATGCAGGCAAATCAATCTTGTTTTTAAAAAGCTTTAAACAAGATGCTGGACAAGCCAGATGTCTGTCTCTCACTTGCTCAAACAGTTTTGATGTCTCAAGGTTTTACTCAGTGCTGCCTGTCCAGGATGGAGTCCCATTTACCTGATGTGACTGGATAGGTGTTTTTCCTTGTTGCTTTGCCTTTCCAGCTTTCTGTTTTTATACTTTCCCACTATAAAATTTCCTGTCTTTAGTTGTGTGCAAACAATAAGTCAATTTTAATAAAAGTATATTTAAGCTAAAAGGGAGATTTATGTTGTGACCTTTTGATCTTGAGTTCTTGTGTAAGTCTTTATGCATAAATGGCTGTAATTGTTCATATTTGTCTTTTCCCAACTGTGGGCCAGGATTTCTTTTCAAACAGCAATAGCAATAAAAGGAGCATGAAATTCTAATTCATATCCCACAGGGTAAAAACACTGTACACATTGCAGTTATCTTGACCTCCTGTTTTAATCTTTAACATATGCTGTGCCTGGCTCAGAGCTCCACAAAGGAGGGAAGAAAGAGACTGTGATGTTGATCTAACCACGACCACGGTCCCGCTGGACTTGATGCTGAATTGTGATGGGTTTGAAGATGAAGCATCATCTTTTTTAATGAACAAATTGCTCCACATTCTTCTCTCTGAATGAAAGAGTAGATTTTAATCTGATGCTTTTTAAAACTAGAGTTGCAGAGAACTTCATACCTTGTGATACATGCTCCACATAACTGGCCTGACAGATTGTCTGTTATTGTTGAATAGAAAATAATAATGTAAGGTATTCTGAAAAATGGAAGATGTTAGAGGATTTGAGCATTCTCTTTTCTTTATTTTGCCTCCCACTTTGCATACTTGGTTAATTTTCTCTGAGGGACATTAATCCAATCATTCAGCCTCTTTATTTCTTTTTTACATGCTTTTTTTCAATTAGCATGTCAGTGCTGAACAATTTCCAATTCCTGCTCCGAGGAGGAAATGGGAGTCATCTTCTCATAAAAGATGTACCTCCTGCACTGAAGTTAAATTATGTACTTGATAGCTTAGGAAGTCATCAGAACCCATTTCTCTTTTTACTATTGCTTACTGACTAATCTTTAAATAGAATTCTTAACTTATTATTCACATAAACAATAACCTTTAACCACAGGTTGCTCTGTTCTTTGATGTTGAGGTTTGTTACCCATCAAATACTACTTATCCAGTGTGGCTTTATTTGTTCTTCAACATTTGCAGTGTCTTGTCATGTCTCAGGAAGCTAAATGAAATAAACAGCACTGAAAAAAAAGCAGTGAGGATGATGAAATCTCTTATACTTTGCTTTTTTTGGGTTGACAGAAGAGATGAGGTATGGTTATTTGATCCCAAAATGTTTGTCCTTGCCTCACTGAGTGAAAAAAATAAATCTAGCCAAGTCTGCATGTGTCTGTGTTCATACTTTGTGCCTGCATGTGAACGTGGTGCTATGGTATACAGATTGGCACGTTTACTTGATGAATAAACACTTTAATCTTTGAAATTATCTTGAGAGTCAGACTGGCTGATATTTTCTTCACCTTCTTGATAAATAGAATCTTTAAAAACTTCTGAAAATTACTTTCTGCCATGAGGATTTATCAGCAGGTTTTAATGTGACTTATTGTTTAATGTAATTGTATTATTACATTCTGATTTGGGAATTAGGGAGGTTTTGCTCCTTGGGGAAATTCATCCATAGTGCTCAATTAAAAAAAAAAAGCAGCAGCAGGGCCCCATGGCTGGCTGCCCTCTCCTCTCTCTGTTTCCAGCCAACCCTTCCTCTCAGCCCTGAGAAGGAGACATCAGGGGGCTTTTTATCAGTCAGTTGTGTCCTTGTAACTTTGCCCAGTTCTGTCACTTGCACAAACCCCTGAATCTTGAACATACAGAGTTCAGCAGAGCTTTGGGTGGTGATACCTACATGTGGCATCAGCTGTGAGGATGATCTGTGTCCAGGTGGTGCGTGGGCACTGCCAACGTAAACCTCTTAGGTCATATGCTTATTAAAAACATTTGCATTTTTGTTTTCCTTAGTCTAAACTTTGCATTCTTGACTGCTTATGCTTTGAATCTGTTGCTTGAGCAGTTTCAGCCAATAGGAAGTTAGAGGCTAGCCAGGCTTTTGATAGATTTATATGTATGTACACACACATACATATATTTATGTAAAATTCTTGCTGGAAAAGTAGGCACTTGAATACAATAGTTTCTTTTTGCCTCTTAGGCCTTTTCTTACTCAAGTTTTTTTTCTGAGCATCATAATATTATTTCTTAGTACAATCAATAGCAAAGGTACTTGTTGTAAATTGGAAGACTGTGGGAACATCTGTTGCAGCCAGACTAAGCCTCTGAGTGACCTCCTGTCTCCCTCGGTATCTGGTGTCCTTCAGACAGTTTCATTTGTCTCTTTTATCTCCATGCTCTGAACTTTTGAGTTGTTCCTGTTGGCATGCTGCTTTGCTGCTTCCTAATTGCTTGTCTTTTCCTAAGTTGCTGTTCAGGCTGTTTCCCTGAAGAGTAAAAAAAAAAAAAAAAAGCTGTGTGTAGCTTGTGCTTTTGATCCTCTGAGCTCTGGAACAGCCGCGCGGCAGCACAGCGCTGGGGAGTCACCTGCAAGCTGGTCATCCTGCCAGATGGAGATTTTGTCTGGTGTGGGGGCTGGCAAGGAGGATGCACAGCTCAGAGGCACCCAGGGCTGAGCTCTTGGGGGATTTGTTTAAGGAATGACCACTTCCCCCTGGCAGGACTGTGGATCTGCCAACAGAAGGATCTGGGGCTGCCTCACCTGCTCCTCAGCGCGTCATCCAGCGTCTTTCTTGAAAGGTGCTTTTCTCAGCAGTTCAGTGAGGCATCAGTTACAGCACCAAAGCATCTGAAACATGAGATACTATTTTTTTCCATCACCTTTCTGGTAGTGTTGTTTCTGCAGCTGCCAGAGCAACCACCAGAGCTCCTGTGTCAGTGTCCCAGGGGAGTCTGCAGTGGGTCAGTCCTGCAGGCTTCATGTCCAGCCCCTACAAACAGCACCAACCTGATGGCTCCTGTTGGGGCTCAGGCATCTAAGAAGCAGTGATTACACACTCATCTAAGTAGTTGCTGCCTTTAATGTAGAAGTTCAGAAGAGTTGATGCTGCCCTAGGAATCACTGTTACCTGTTTCAGTTCTCATCAAACCCTGTGTTTAACTCTGACTACCTGAGGAGAAAGTGTTTGGAGAGGAAAGTGAAAGAGATCAAGGGAGGGCTAAAATATAAATGAGGAAGGCCTCATGTTATCCAATAAATTACATCTAAAGCAGGGAAGGTCCCATTTTCCTGAAGAATGGAAAGCAGTGGGTTGGCAATGAATGCAGGAGACATCGGCCACCAAGGGAGAAAATTGTTCTGCCTTAAGTGATACTGCCTGTCCAAAGGATGTGGGCTTTCCCTTTGTATGGCTCCTGCTGCTGTGGGGCTGTAACCTTTCAAGTTCAATGTGGCAGTAGTAACATTTGTAATTCAGTCCAAAAACCAGTCTGATCATCCTCTACAAAACTTAATAGCACAGGTCATCTGTAGAGTAGTGGCTTTGTCAGCAGTTTTGGCAGCAAAGCTTGTATTTACATGCTGTAACATACTGTGTTGTGTAATGTTGGTGCTCCAAGGTATGCTAGTCAAGCTGCTGAGATGATCCCTTCTGAAATGCAGCCTGGCAGGCAATGATCTGCTACCACTTCAGTAGCTGCAGCAGTTGCTGGCACAGATGGGCAGGTTAGGAGCATTTTTGGTGTATTTTAACTCACAGTGTATAGCACAGCAGCTGTGGGTGATGAGAGCCAGGGCTGTGTTCAAGCCTGGGTCCTAGAGTAGTTCTAGGTTAGGAGCATTTTTGGTGTGTTTTAATTCACAGTGTATAGCACAGCAGCTGTGGGTGCTGAGAGCCAGAGCTGTGTTCAAGCCTGGGTCCTAGAGTAGTTCCTGAACTAACTGTAGCTGGGAATTCACTCCACAGAGGATTTCATTCTTTGATCAGGATGGTCCTCAGAACAGTCACCTGCAAATGAATATTCACTGTCTGCCTTGTGCTACACGAGTAGAGTCTGGTTCATGGCTGGTGAAATATGATCAGATTGTGCAAAGAGGCTCATAGGGCACTGCAGGGAAAAAAAAGTGAATTGGATGTACCACTCTGCTTTCTAGAAGGCAGGATGCATATGAATAACTGACAATTGATGGCTAGAACTGACTAAACCTCTGTTGGCCAAGAACCATAATGAATATAAATCACTGCTCTTCAATGGACATTTTAAAGGACTTGGTATAGAACAGAAAATCTGAAACCCCACAATCCTAATTGGTCTCATTTGCGTTTGAAGAATTCAGTTGGCTTGCTTTTCCACTCCTCTGACAAGCTTTTCCTTTTAAGAGCTGCCTATAAATTAGGGCAGTTGTTTTTACTGGTGGCAGTGATAGAAGAGTTCCCACAGCTCCCCTTCTAGAAGGCAGGATGCATCTGAATAACTGACAATTGATGGCTAGAACTGACTAAACCTCTGTTGGCCAAGAACCATAATGAATATAAATCACTGCTCTTCAATGGACATTTTAAAGGACTTGGTATAGAACAGAAAATCTGAAACCCCACAATCCTAATTGGTCTCATTTGCGTTTGAAGAATTCAGTTGGCTTGCTTTTCCACTCCTCTGACAAGCTTTTCCTTTTAAGAGCTGCCTATAAATTAGGGCAGTTGTTTTTACTGGTGGCAGTGATAGAAGAGTTCCCACAGCTCCCCAGTGAGAGCACGTCCCTAATTAATCTTATGGAATTGTATTTTGGATTCATGGCAGCATGTTTTGTGTTGCTTTGAGCTTTGATATGCCTTTATATTCAGGAATCTCACAAGCTAAGTAAACTCCAGTAAGATACAGCTGCTTTAGGTGGCTTCTTTTATGGCCTAATTACTTAGGTTCTATTTGCTGGATAAGATACCAAGGTTCAGGTGTTCACTTCCAGGTTTTCCTATTTCAGTTCTCACATGAAAGCACAGGAACATAGGAAAACAGTTCTGGAAGGTGGCTCTGCATGTGAGCTAAATGAAAAGCCTGGTTCAGGATGCTGGTGTGTAGGGTGAGAGGCTTGAGGAGAAAGCAGGGAGGAAAGCCTGTTCCCTGGGTGTTCTTGTGAAGCAAGCAGGGCTCATTATGCAGTGCTGATTGTCAGGGTTAACAGCGGAGCTCTTCTCTCTCTCCTTAAATATTGTGAGAGTTCCACTTGTGAAATGCTTTTGTGATGAGCTCAGACTGTGTCTTGCATCCATTGAGAATTTCCCAATTAGTGGAGGCCTTCTGTTTGGAGCTGAGGGAGGAAGTATGGATTTAATGATGACAATAGGTTTTGTTTTGACCTGCAGATGGTAGAAGAAAGCGAGGAGAGGCTGACGGAGGAGCAGATCGAGGCCCTTCTCCAGACAGTGACCAGCATCCTGCCCGGGGACCCGGAGGAACAGCAGAGAGACTCAGCAATGGCAACTGGAGACAAAGGTGACCAAGCCTAGGAGGCATCTAGACCACAGCTGGCAACAGTTTCAACAGAGAATCAGTTAGTATTTTTCTGGTTTTTACTTGGTACCAGTTTAATCTTGTATTGGACATGATTGTAAAATATATTACAATTTTTATTGCTTTGAGGTGATGAGGGAGCCAACTGTTTACAAGGAGGCATGGAAAAGGACTCCATTGTTTTGGCATTTTGTCATACACAGAGATTGCAGGAACTGAGTTGGTAGAGTGGCAGTCTGAGAGTTTATGAGGCACAGAATCTGAAGCTTTTGTGTCCTTCCCATTACCCTTATAACAGCTGTACATTGGAATAGGCTTAGATACAGCTGGCAGTGTTTTATTTATCACAGTGGTGCTATAATTGTAATTGCTTTCATGTGCTTGTGAATTGCCCAACTGGTTTTCAGAACACGGTCTCCAGTACAAAGCCAACTTCTGGAGCTGTTTGCAAGGATCAGTACATGGATTAATGCACAAGAGCTGCTTGGTATCTGTCCAGACAATTTCAAGTAGGCTGTTGGCATCTTGGCAGTGAGAGGAGGTGTTGGTAGGGAAGCTGCTCTCAGGGATGTCTGAGGAGTCCCTGCTTGAAAAAAGGTCCAGATCAGCTGAATTAACCTATTGCCACAGAAATCAGCTGGGCTGGACCAGTTCACAGCAGTTGAGGCTCTGGACTCTAGTGTTAAGGCTCTTAGGAATACAAAAGAACAGCATTCAGGAGTGAGGTGTGTATTTTCCCTTTGAACATTTGTTCCAATGTTCATATCTGGACAAGTCCCAGGCCTGTGAACTTGCTGTTGACTGTGGAATAAATGATTGAGTCGACACTGGAGTCCTAATCTGGTTTAGAAGAATGAGAATCTGTCCTGGTTGAAGAAAAGTTTTTTTGTGTATTGAGCTTTTGTCTGATTAAAGATTTCAGAATTGGTGTTGAAAGCATTATAATAACCTTAAGATTATAATAAACCTTTTGTGGATGTATACATAGAGATGCACATAAAGTAATGTGTTATATATGGCACTGATTTTATACTGACTGCAGACCATCCTTTTGTAATTGTTATAATATACTGGAAATAGAAATTAAGCTTGAAGTAAATCCTGGGAATTTTGTGGGTTATCGAAAATACATAAGACCTTGATGCAGAATATATGACTTTTTTTTCTCCCCCCACTTCTGTAATGGTTTTATTTTGTTTTAATGCAAAGAATTTATGCATTCAGGGCTTTAGTTGTGTTGTATATGAAAGGGAGTGATAAACTGCAGTGTCTGGGGGATTTATTATATGCATTTCCCTGGTATTTTCAGCTTCTTTAATGTTTGTGAGGAAGTGAACTTATGGGAAAATGTTTGTTACCTCTTAAACATAATGTATCTTGCATTAAATGCATTCCAAGGCTGAAGACTAAAGGTGTGTTTTGACTGGTAAGTAATGTATTAGAGGGGGAAAGTCCTTGGTGGTTTTTATGATACATCAATATGTATTTTCTCTAAATGGGCAACAAAACGCAATAGATGGGTAGAGCATGTCATGGAATGATGCTAAATTAATGTGAAAAATAGCATTTTACTGTTAGCAGTCAGTGGTGCTGTTTGACATTTTGTGGCCTTGCAAGTGTTTACATTTTTATCTGTCTTTTTCAAAATTAAGTTACTGAAGCCTGTTCTAAACTTACAAAAAGCAGATGGAAGTAGATTGCAAGTATCTTTAGCCGGCAAGAATGTTTTAAAAGATCTCTGAAGTCAGATGTTCCATCTTGGGAGCTGCTGATTTGTTATCATGATGGGCTTTTGCCAGCATCTGTGTTGTCAGCTGTTGTGTGTGAGCTGTACAAGATTTCCCTACAAATGCAACACTGAGTAACATTTGAAGGGATCTGGGACTTCACATTTGCATTACATCAAGAAATCTTTTAAATACCTGCTGTCTGTGCCCTCCAGCCATGTAAGTACAGGCCAGGGATCCCCCTGGGAGCAGGTGTCACCTTGTGCTGTTCACTCTCGGGTGTGTTCTTGGCAAACCTGAGACTCAGGAGTGGTTTATGGGAAGAAAACTCATCTTGCTGATGTGATTCCTTTTTTCCAGTGTCCTCTTAACTCATCAGTTACCCAGCACAATAGCTGTGCTCTGCTGATGTTGGGAGGAGGGCAGAGCACTCAGCACCCTGTGAATATTTCAGATGTGCATTTTATTTTTAGCATTCTCATTTCCTGTGTATTCCTCTTTTATTCTGTATCACACATTTGGGTCTTTGCAGATGGACATCTCTGCTTGTGGCAGCTCCTTCATATCTTGGGTGACCCCTTGGAGGTTGTCGGTTTTGGGGAGCTGAGTTGGGAATCTCCTGGACAAGCAGTGCCAGACCCCACAGCTGGGAACCCCTGGGAATGGCCTCACCATGGAGGCACAGCCTCCAGGTGCTGCTCATCTCTCATGTTGTGTGTGCAGAGATAAGGGGGAGGTGAACTGTGTGATGGGAAGACTCTCTAATGGAAACATCAGTGCTCTTGAGTCAGGCAGAAGATCCAAGTCTAAGGATGGGGCTAAGCCATGAAGCCAAAGGAAATTGTTCCCTTGTGGTGGGCTGCTGAGCTCCGTGGTGGCCATGTCCCCTGCAGCAGGGGAGGGTTCTGCTTTCCAGAGCAGCAGTTCATTTGGTTTGTATAACGGCAGCCAGAGGGTTGTGGTTTTACACTGGTTCCTTTTTTGGTTTAAAATGCAGTTGTGGGAGCACCTGCTCCCAAGCTGGTGCACAGGGACATTGCTCTCCTGACCTTGGTGGCACAACAGCGACATGTGCAGGACCAGCTGGTGACCTGAGCAGAGCACAGGGAGGGCAGAGCTTGGCCCCATCCCAGCCAGAGAGTTGGCAAAGGGTGATTTGGGGACACCAGAACTGTCCTTTCTGCATTGGTGAGGGGTCAGTGAGGAAGATCCACTTGGTGTCCCAAAGTGAGCACTGCAGTAGAGCTGATGCTGGGGACATGGATGGGGTTTGGGAAGAGCTGGGCAGGCAGCAGGCAGCTGGAAAGCCACCGAGGGATGTCTGCATGGTGAGTACCAAAACAAGCACCCGGCCTCCTCCTCGCAGATCCTGCCCTGAGGACACAGGTTCCTCACCATCAGCTTGATAACCCAACACTCCTGTTGCCAGGCTGTGGGATTGGGAATTGGGACCCCTCTTCCTAGGTGAGATCCTTTAAAGGGGAGGAGGTTTGGGTCACAGCAGACAGGGAATTACTTGGCATGTTAGAATGCTTCAACAGCAGCTTGGATGTGTCCAGTTCTCCCCACACCCCCAGATGAGCCCAGGGACTGCTCCAAAGAAGCCCAAAGCACCCTGTAAAACCACAAGTGATGTTCTGTAGCCTTCCCAGATAGAGGAAGGTCACATTAGCCCCCTTTCCAAAGCACTGCTCTGGAGGCACAGTTTGGGATCCAGCCAGTGTCCTGGAGGGAGTGGATGGCAGCCTTGTTTAGGTTGGAGCTGCTGAAGACGTTGACAGAGAAAATATTTTCTGTTCCCACAGAAATAAATCCTGCTGCAAAGTTTTTATTGAACAAAATGAAATGCTTGTGTTGAAAAAAATCAAGAGGTTGGGCCAAAGCACAACTAAAATGCAGCAAGCACTTAGGAAGTGTTTGTTAAGCCCCAAGAACCTTTCCTTGCCATCAGCAAGAGTCTCCCTGCACATGTTGCTTAAATTAATTTCCTTCTGCATTAAGGTTCTTTATTTTATTAACTTCAGTGTTTATAAAAACAGCCATTGAAGGTAGCTGTGATGCTGTTGAGCTTTAAAGATAATTGAAATAAATCTGCCATGTGAACCAGCCAAACAGGGTAAAAGAACATCTGAAAAGAGATGGGAAAGCAAAAAGTCCCTGGGAAGGGCTTGATGCAAATAGGGAAGCTGGGCCTGGGGGTGCTGCAGGGGGTCTGGAGGTGCTGCAGGGGGGCTGCAGGGGATGCTGCAGGGGGGCTGCAGGGGGTGCTGCTGAGGGGCTTACAGACCCGACGCTGTTGAGAAAAAGGAATCTAAAAATAGAAAATCGGAGATGTTGAAATTATCCAGCTCAACAGAGAGCAGGGGGTGTGCTCTCCCAGCTCTTCCCACACTTATATATGCACATATTTATATATCTAGTGCAAGTCAGCCCTGGAGACACACCACAGGCTTTAAAAAAAAAGCACTCTGTTGGACTAGAGATCTTTTGGTCAAGTTTCAAAAGGCTTTCAAGGTCCCCTCTCCCTTTGCTGCCTGTGCAGGAGGGAGGGCATCAGCCTGGATGCACCCGCTGCCTTGTATCACAGCCGTGGTTTGTGTGTCTGCTCAGGCTGGAAGGGCTTTCCACCCCGTGCTAATTGCAGGAGTTTGTTGATTAGATGTGTCCAGTTGTCTGAGTGTTATGGACCAGTGATACTCTGTGAGCTCTGAAATGCTGTGGATGGACAGAGCAGGGAGAGTTTGGGGGAAACGTGTAGGACAAGCACCTTGTTTCCTCTGCAAGTGCCACCTCAGTCCCCATCCTGATGCATCAGGATGTTCCTTGTCCCATGGGGAAGGTGGTTCATGCCACCACAACAGGGCTTGACTTCTTGAGCACTTGGCAAATCCAGCTGCAAAGAGTTTTTCCCCCCTTTTGTTTTGTTCAGCAGTTTCCTTAGCAAACTTGGCAAGGCAGCACTAGAGGCTTCCTTGGGGTGCAGCAGCCAGAGGGTGGCCCTGAGGGGGGAAGAGACAATGCCAGAAACTCCCACTCAAAACCTGATGGGATCCAGCCTCCTGCTTGCAGCGGGTTTGCTCCTTCATCACCCAGCAAAGCCCATTAAACCTCCCAAAAGCTGGTGCTTCCAGCTGCCCACGCTGCAGCCTGTGTGAGCCGGGGCTGGAAACGGGCTATTTCAGGCCAATTTAAACATTTTCCCTTTTCCTGTGCAGTGCCCTGCTCCCAGGTGTGGGCGCAGCAGGAAGTTGCCTCTATCTCAGTCCCAT